TTCTTCATAGTCAAGCTCCCCCAAAAGTTTTATTTCTCCCGTTTTGGGATCAATTGAAAATAAATTCATATCCTCCTCAGACACGTGGCCAAATTGATAAGTGACGTCTCCATTTACTCCTTCATCTGCATCAGTTGCACTGACGGTAATTACAATTGTGTCCGGTGGTGAGTTTTCAGGTACATTTGCTTTATAAATGGCCTGAGTAAACAAAGGAGCGTTATCATTAGTATCCAGCACTGTGACATGGATGATTACAGTACCTGATTTCTGGGGAGATCCGCCATCTAAAGCTGTTAGGAGTAAATTGTTTTCATTTTGTTTTTCTCTATCAAGTTTTCTATCTAATTTCAGTTCAACCTTATTGCCGTCTACAGCAAGAAGGAAATTATCATTCTTTTGCAGTATGTAGCGCTGCACTGCATTTTGACCTATATCTGCGTCATGGGCCTCCTCGACGGAAAAACTGTAGCCTATATCTGCGGACTCACGTATTTCCAGTTCAATTAATTTTTCATTAAATTGCGGTGAATTATCGTTCACATCTTGTATCTGAAGGCTAATTCGGTGAAGCTCTAAAGGATTCTCTAACACCAAATCGGCTTTCAAAGCACACACGGGTTTTTTGCCACAAAGGATTTCTCTGTCTATTCTTTCCGACGTAATCAAGTCCCCGGTATTCATATTAATATCACAGTAACGCTTCCGAGTTCCTGCAAAATCAACACGGGCTTGTCGTGAGGCTAAGGTCCTCAGATCAACACCCAGATCCTTGGCCACATTTCCCACAACAGATCCTCGCTTCATCTCTTCTGGGATCGAGTAGCTCAGATCTCCACGTACCTGATGCCGCATTTCAATGAACAAAGCAAGGCACATGATCAGGGCAAGTCCTGCGAATCCTTTGTCTCTCATCTTGATTTAAATAGGTCGTCAGGGTTTTTGAAACAGTAAAAAGGAAGCGTTCAAAACATATTCAAAAAACAGAGCTATAAAACTCAAATCCGCGGAAAGCA